TTTTCTGGATTCTCGATTCTGTTCCATTGATCGATGTATCTTTCATTGTACCAGTACCAAGCTGTTTTGACCACTGTAGCTGTGTAGGAAATTTTGAAATCAGGGAGTGAGAGGCTTCCCACTTTATTCTTTTTCTTCAGCAGTGCTTTGCTTATCCTGGATCTCTTTCCTTTCCATATAAAGTTTGTAATAGTTTTTTCCATCTCTTTGAAGAATGTTATTGGATTGTGGATTGGGATTGCATTGTACATGTAGATTGCTTTCTGCAGTATAGACATGGTATATTCTTCCATTTTTGTAAGTCTATTTTGGTTTCTTGTTGTAGTGTTTTGTAGTTCTTTGTTTCTCTGGTTAAATTTATTCCTAGATATTCATCCTTTGGGCGGCTATTGTAAGTGGCATTGCTTTCCTAATGTCCTTTTCAGCGCTGTAATTATTGGTATAGAGGAATCTAACTGATTTTTGTATGTTGATCTTATACCACTTTGCTGAGTCTTCCAATGAAGTCTAGTAGCTTTTTTACTGAGTCTTTGGGGTTTTCTATGAATAGGATCATCTTGTCTGTGCACATAGATGGAAATGTTTTTGGTACTGGGTTTTCAGCTATGTTTTTCTGTCTCCCCTTACTCAGTCACTCAAATTCCACTTGAAGTTGTTTGACAGTTTACTGACGGTTCTTTCTTTTATTGGATTTTAATTCTTTTTGGATATTTTTTGTTGTTGTGTCTTCAAGGTTATTCATTAATCTTTTTTTCTGGATTCGTATGCATTGTATTTTTAATCTCCAATACTGTGGTTTTCATCTATTAAAATGTTTTTGTACTTTTTAGTGTAGCTTGTGTATCTGCATGTTAAATAGGTGGAAAATAGTTGTATTAGTTGTTTTAATGTCTTTGATAATTCTAACATCTGTATCAGTTTATTGTTGGTTTTGATTGAGATTTCTTTTCCTTCTGGCTTATATTTTTCTGTTTCTTTTGCATGCCTTGCAGTATTTAACTGGATAATAGGAATTCATGAATTTTACCTTGTTGAGTGCTAGATATTTTTGTATTAATATATATCTTTAGGTTTGTTTTGGGACACAGGTTACTTGGGAGCAGTTTAAGATTTGTTGGGTCTTAACTTTAAGATTTGTTATTTTAAGAATATTAAGTTGTTGGTGGGGTTGGTTGCATGCCACCGAGTTGGTTCCACCTCATAGTAAACCTGTGTAGGGTTTGTGAGACTGAATATTCACGGGAATAGTAAGCCTCATCTTTCTCCTATGGAAAGACTGGTAGATTTCAACTTGTGGTTAGCAGCCAGCTCATAATCCACTACACTTTCAGGATTCAGATAGGGCTTATTATTCTCCATTTGCTGAGGCAAGGCTACTGTGAGTAGTTTACATGATGCTCTGTAAATCTGAGCTTTTCCATTTGACTAATGAGAACAAATACTATTCTTGACCCTGTGTGAACATTGGGCATTGTTCCATCTAATTTTCTTGAGTGGTTCTTTTCCTAGGTTTAGATAGTTTCCTCATATTCTTAAAAAAACATTGTCATCTAGTTAATTCTGTCTCATTGCAGTCTTGCATAGGGTTTGTGGGACTGTAAACTTTTATGCCAGTAGAAAGACTCATCTTTCTGCCATAGAGCAGCTGGTGGATTTGAAATGCTGACTTCACGTTAGTAGCCCAATGTGTAACTCACTTCTCATATTCATTTAATGATTAGGATTTTGTTGGATCTGTGCAGCTTTTTCTTCTCAGTTTCTCTGAGTTCAGTTCCTGAGTTTAAGTTCAGGCCTATGAACTATAGCCACTTTATATTTCCTGGATTCTCAACTCCATTTCTTCAACTCTAGGAGTTTTCTAAAGTCTCCGTGGGTTCTCCTCCCTTGTATTAACTATGTCTTGGAAACTCTAGGGCAGTCATGGGCTTATATTTTGTGTTTTTCTTGTCACTGCTTGGTATCCAGTGTCTAGAGGACCATTGTTTTATTGACTGTGGTTTTTTGTTTGTTTGTTTTTCATTCAGGGTGGGAGGATTAACCCAGTCCCTCTTGCTTCATATTGGCTGATGGTGTAGTTACAGGAAACTTTAAGGCTTAATTATAGTTTACATAAGTATTTGAATTTGGTTCAAGGTATGTGCGTATGCTTTAAATTTTAGGGCAAAGTTGAGCAGTATATACAAAATGAATCAAGTATCAGATGCATATTGAGCCTCTACTATAAAGTACCTTCATACCTGTTATAAATAAAAATATATAGTTGACCTGTGATCACTGCTGGGTTTAGGGGTGTTGAACCGTTTCTCAGTTGTAAATCCATGTATAACTTTTGACAACTCCCCCCAAAACTTAACTAATACCATTTTAGGGTCCCATTATAGAGCTGAAGGACTGCTAAATACAAGGTAGTTGATTCAAACCCACCAACCGCTCTTCAGAAACCATCTTAAAAAGGGTTGCTGTGACTTGGAACAGACTCCATGGCACTTAACAACCATAGCCTTTTTTGATTGGAAACCTTACTTGATAAACAGTTGATTAACATATTTTGTATGTTACATTATACTTCACTCACATAAAAGCTGCATTTTCATATGTGGTATAAAGGTATTTTTAAAAAGTGCAAGTCTTCATGTCTGTTGGTGTAGCTACAGTGATGATTTTACAAATTTCTTTTTCTCTTTATGCAGTGGTCCTAATACTGGATTCATTTATCTTGAAATCTTAGATAGTCACAGTTTCAGATCTCAACATAGAGTACATTCCAGGATAATACACTTTTTCTTGTAATGTCATGACTTTTCTCTGCTTCTTGGGAGTACTTCTAGCATCACTAGTGACACTTCATATGGGTTCCATGGTTTTATTCAAGGTTTATAGTATTGCAGTAAACACAATGAAAAGTAAGTGAGAGATCACTTTTTACTGTGATATACAACTTACTGGTGAGACAGAGTGCTCTCGGGGAGATGACTAGTGTTACAGGGTGATTTAAAAAATCACTTAAGTGCACTTTTGCAGTTCAAACCCATGTTTTCTAAAGGTCAGCCATGTAAATAATACTAATATGTTGTATGGTATAATATTATTATGGTATGAGACCTGGTGGCACATTGATAAAATGCTTGACTGCTAACCAAAAGGCTGGGATGTAAAACTGCCAGTGGTTCTGTGAGAGAAAAGACCTAGAAATCTGCTCCTATAAAGAGTACCACCTACAAAATTGCATTGGGCGGTTCTAATCTGTCATGTTGGGTTGCTATGAATTGGAATCAAATTGATGGCACCTTCCCATAAGCAATAATACTGTGATGAAACCTGCAGAAGTTACTTTCCTTTTTCTACATTTTGCATAAAAATGCAAGATTCTTATATTTTGACTAAAGTAATATTTTTGCCACTGCTTGTTAAGGTAACCCAGCACTTTTTAAACTCTTGGTCTGTTTTACTTGATTTAAAAAAGACTTTAATTGTATGTAAGATTATCATCTTATGAAGTCTATACTTTCAGTGTTAAGTTGTTAAAAGTATAGCCCCTTTTTGCTGTTTTGCCTACTATTAAAAAAGTAGAGGAAAAGAAAATTGTTCCAAATGTGGTTTAGTCTCCTAGAGATTAAAATAAATATGTGTATATGACATTTGGTTAAGTCGGCTATGTGTAAAATTAATACATTGTAATGCTGTAGCTTATCAATTTGATACTTTGAAATAAACTTCATGGGTAAGCTGGACTTTGAATTCCTTACAGAATCAATTTTAACCCCTTTTCTAAGATCAACTGTTTCATATAATTTCTATTAATAGAGGGGAGTAACCAAATGAAAGTCTCAGAAAATATAAAAAAAAGAAAGCAAAATATGCATGTTAATGGACAACTACTTTTTTGGGGGAGTCCTGGTGTGGCGCTGTTGGGTAAGCACTGGACCACAAGGTCAGTTTGAACCACAGGTTGACAGTTGATACTCACCCGTCACTGTTTGGATACCCTATATCGGGTTACTATGAGTAGCAACTGACTCAGTGGTGCTGAACAACAGCTCCTACCTAATCATAGCACTCAAAAACCCTAAGATTTTAGTTAGTCCTTCTTTATTACAAAACTTTAGAAGTTGCTTACTTTCTGAGTTTCAGGAACAGAAAACAGGTTCAGTGTTCCACAAGAAATAGATACTATTTTATATTGTTGTATGATTATTGCAAGCACCAAAATAAAGCAACCTGGTTTTTTCATGCCATTAATTAAACATACCTTAAAATTTTTTTACAAATTAGTGTATGGTTATTGAAAATTGACTCAAAGATTAGTAGTGTATTTACTCAAAGATTAGTAGTAAATTAGAGAGTAGTAATTTATCATTTTTAAGTCTGCTACCCCAAAATATCATTATCCTTCTAGAGTTTGTGTGTCTCTAGCTTTAGGATAAGCACTTCACTGCTAACCACAAGATTGGTGGCTCAAACCCACCAGCTGCTCATTGGAAACACCCTATATAGACAGGGTCATCATGAGTCAGAACTGATTCAGTGGCACTTACCAACTGCTTTTCGGAAGATAGGAAAATATCACATGTAAGAATTTTGCTGCAGTAATCTTAGAAATTACTAGTTTGTTTTTACGTTAATATCTAAAATTAACCCCCTGTAGTTATTGTTGAGGAGCTCTGGTAACATAGTGATTATGAGTCTGGCTGCTAACTGCAAGGTTAGCAGTTCTAAACTACTATCTGTTCCATGGGAGAAAGATGAAGCTTTCTGCTTCCGTAAAGATATATAGTCTCGAAAACCCTATGCAGGGTCGTTATAAGCTGGAACCGACTCCACAGCACATCATCACCACCACCATAGATATTGTATGATTATAAAATACGTATTTTTTGCAGACAAATAGAAAATTTTGTTGTTTAAAGAGTGTTTTATCAGGGATTTATATATGTAAGAAAATATACTAAAGTGTTTAAGGGATTCTTGATGTGAAAACTAAGAAAATAAATTACTTTTAGGTCTTTGTCTGAAGCTATGTCAGTGGAGAAAATTGCTGCAATCAAAGCCAAAATTATGGCTAAGAAAAGATCTACTATCAAGACTGATCTAGATGATGATATAACTGCTCTTAAACAGAGGAGTTTTGTGGATGCTGAAGTAGATGTGACCCGGGATATTGTCAGCAGAGAGAGAGTGTGGAGGACACGAACAACTATCTTACAAAGCACAGGAAAGGTAATAAAAATATTTCGTTTTTATTTTACAGTGCATGTATATATTTAAAACATGATTAATTGTAGAATTGGTTAAAATTTGCATTGAGAAGAAGGTTTCATGTGTCCTTTGAAAGGTTAGTAATAATGCAGATTTCTAATTCCATTTACACAGATGATTGTTGGTTACAAAAGCTGGTGAAAAAGTGATTCACAATGCAAGTCCCTTTAAGTACATATCCATTTGTAAATTCAGAGAGTGGACGAGTTTTTCTGTTAAATTTTGCTTTCATTTTGTTGACATTGGGGATATTGATGACAGACAGACAAATTCTCAGTTAATGACATCAATTTTCCCCACAAAGAGAACGTGAGATCAGTCAGTAAATGTTTATTGAGTATACTTCATAATTCTACTGTTTCTTATCATTGGAGTTTTTTTTCCCCTTTTAGGATTGTGGAATTCTTCTCCTTCCCGTCCTCACTCTGCCTCCCATTCTCTCTTCTTCATGTATATATGGATAAAGGATTGATTCCTGGAAGATAATGACTAGACAGAAAAGAGAGTGTACTTTAAATTGAAAGATAAAAATTTGGAAAAAAAAACAAAAACGGAATGTTCTTCAGTATCTTTATGAATTTTCAAAAAAGTTATATAGATTGCTTTACATATTTTCCTTTCTTCTACTTCCTCACTTTTGTATGAATATTTTTCACTATTTGATAGTGGTTAATAGTGATAATTTGGTATTCACATGTAAACAAGTTTGGGAGATTTACTGCTAAAATTGAATTTTGGCATCATTCTAGGCAGATTGTGGTTGCAGAGTTTTATAGTTCTCACCTTAAATCTACTATGACATTTTAGTAGAAACAGAGCTACTAGAAAAAGAGTACTTGAAGAAAAGATTATTTCTTTTATTTTGTACTTAGACTTATTCTCCAAAGTATTTGTGGTAGAAGGTATGAATTATTCTCTAAAGTTCAGAATTGAAAAGGAATATGAGACCATGACTAAACAGTCTTTCCATTTTTGTACTTGTGATGTGATTTCTTAATACTCATTTTCACTGTCAAATACTTTAATAATATTCTGGCTTATATTGTTATAAAATGCTCGTTATGATTATTGAAACTCACCATAAAGGAAGAAAACATATGTAATATGTATGCTCTGCCTTCTTTGAGACTAAACATTAAATTTTCAGATAACTCAGTTGAACAGCTTTCTTTCATCTGTAGATGGCAGTATTGTGCCATCATTTAAAAATAAATGCTAATTTTAATTTAATGTGCTGTAACATTTTAGAAATAAGTTAAAAATTAAACATTGTGAAATAAATAGGTTTACTTTTATGAATATTAATATTTAAAAAATAAAATAAATAAATTGATGGATAGTCTTTCTATATGTTGTTTTTATCTAGTAAACTAAAAAAATATTTTTAACTACTCAGAGCACTCAAAAACTCTATACTGGGTTGTTATGAGTTGGAACCAACTTGATAGTACTTAATAACAACAGCAATGTTATCTAAGGAGAATATCCACAGTTTCCTGAAAAGCTATTGAAGTATTTTTTCAATTTCCAACTTCATGTCCATGAAGCTGGATTTACTTTATATTTTTTTATTGAAACAAGTTATCCCAGCATATACTGAATGTAGAAGCAGTTATGCGAATAGAAATAGAATAGAAATCTTCTGTTTTTCCAGACGTTAGAGAGATTAGCAAAAAGAGTTTAAAACAGTATAAAACTGTTTCTTTTTGTGTGTTTGAAAAATAATTTTTCATAAAGATAGATCATTTATGTTTGCATGTAATAGAATTTTAAGGAATTCTTTTAAAAATTCATTCAGTCGCTAACATGATAAATATTGGTAGATTATTACATAAAACTATGCTTTCAGTTTCTCAAAAGTACTTAATAATTTGTAAACATATAAAAGATTCCTTATAGTTTTACCTCTACCCTTAAGAATAACAGGAACTATATAGTACTATAATAAAATATGCAAAGATTTAGAGTTGGAAAACCAAAAGGGAAGAACATGGTCAGCATTTCTCAAGCTGGG